AAAGCCTCAGAACCAATCAGTAACCAGCGATCGCCCATTGCCTTATGGGTCTTGTGGTCAATGTCACTTCTCACCACCAGAAGAGTTTTTACTTTTTCTTCGCATCACAAACTGTCATAAATGTACAAAAATGGTAAGCAAATGGCTCCTGTGTTGCTCCAAGAAGGAACAAAAACAGTCTTTATCATCTAAAAGGTTTTCTAAAACTGTTTTATAGACAGTAAGCTCCTGAATAGACCTTTCTGTCTGTGTTGTTTTATTTTTCACGTATATTCACACATTCAGTTCATTGTTTTATGCTCTTTTTTTTAAATACGCCTGAAAAAATGTAGAAAATCTTGTGGAAAACGTTTATTTTCTGTGATATTGTTATCTACTTTTGAATTTGGGCTGGGTGAAGCTTGATGATATGTGTTTTTAAGCTAATAAGTCCCAGTTCAAGTCATCTGTGGCATCTTGTTTCAAGCAAATATTCAAGCAAAGATTAAAAAAAAGGAAATCTTATTGACAGAGGCACTCAAGGTGATTCTGACTGTAACTTCAGCATGACCTTTCAAATAACACCATGCATGTACAGGTACTAACAAGTTGAACAAGAACAGCTTTTCATTTACTCTAATTATGCCTTAGATCGGCACTGTGGATGAATTTAGGATATATTTCTTAAATAATTTAAAACAGTTTCCACCTTCACAGGTCATCACTGGTATTCAAATAGATTTTGACTGAGAGGAGGGAGCATGTCCCTGTGTGTGTCTTGTCGGGACAGGCAGTACACAATGTTTGAACTACTATTATTGTGCTTTAATTGACCTCTGTGAATACCCTGAGCCACACCTTGTTTGTACTTTGACCCGCATTACAGTTAACATGCTCCTCTGTGTGTAAAGTTGTTCTCTGTTGGGAAATCTCCACCTTCTCAGCTGCGCTCCATTAAAAGTCTTGCTGGAAATTAAAAACTCTGCTTTGTGCACTGAATGGTTGTTTAAACACATCTCCCTGTGTACATTTTTTAAAATCAGTTTAGTGTATAATGATTTGTAAACTTCCTTGTCCGGATGATGTTGCATATGTTGCCCAACTGCCTTCCCCTTTCTCCAACCACGCCTTTGAAACAAAAGCTCTTTGCTGGTACAGCTGCACTCAAACTGGATATTTAATAAGCTCAATAAGGGAACAGACATACAGTGCTGCATTTAACATCAGATGACTGCACAGGTAAAAGGTGTCTTTGCATGTGTTTGTTTTGAATATGCAAGTGTTGTGTTGTGTTGTCAAACTGAGAGAAATCTATCAGTGTCAAGATGACTGTGATCAGTTCATCTTCTAGTGCTTCTGTTAGACATATTCTTCATTCAAAAAAACAAAGTGCAATGAAAATGTGAAAAGTACCTGATAAATACATTTGTATTTTTTAAGCTCAGTTCTTGCTCTGATGAAGGCTCTGTCAATATTTGGTCCATGCCACTTCCTACTGAGGCCAACAGCTCTGCTCTGCTCTGCTTTTATCTGTATGTTGATATACAAAAAAAACATCAGAGAAAGAGGCACAGTGCGATACAGCTGTAGCATCAATCAAAAGGAAATTACAGATAAAGACGAGGAAAATTAGCATCCAGATTCTTCTGTTTGATACCCACACAGGTGAGAAGAAATGTGTCCTCAGGCTCTCAGTTATTGATTTCAGCAGAGAGGAATGCTAGTGTAGACGTCACTATGCTCCACATGCTCAAACTGAATGGATTTATTTTGTCAAAATGCTCACTAACAATCAAAAAAGTTCACTGGTGCAGAAAGAAACAATTTGTTCAATGTGGAAAAGGACACAGCGTGCTCTCAGTCAAAAGACTATCTTCTGCATCAGCATGGAATAAAAAAAATAATTCTAACATGTGAAGAACTTTTCTTTTTTTCTCAGTGTGTGGGCTTTTTTCTATGAAATAAATATAACATTTGGGAGAAAAAATAAGAACAGATTGAGAGCCCATTCTTCACCTTGGAAACAGGAAAATGATTAGTTGATTTTTTTCAACTGCTGTTTCCAAGGTGAAAAATGAAAGTGCTGAGAAAAAAAAGAAAAGTTTAACATCCACAGTATGACAACAGGGCAAACTCCATCTATGGAGGAAGATCATGTAATACGATCAAAAGCTCAGGAGTAGCTACTGAGTGGACTTCAGGGTGAGGTCATTTTTGTAAAGAAAAAATATGCAGACTTTTATATTTTTGCATCTTTTATTATGTCTTTGCCTAATAGTCCGACATCAGGACACTGTGTGTCAGAAAATACTGCTGTTCTCCTACAAAATCCAAAACCTGTGACTTAATTACAGCATGTCAACATCATCACTTCAGATCTTCTCTGAGTCTCATCAACCCTGAAACAATATCCCACAAGCAAAAGCAAATAATTTCCCAATGCAAATAACTGTAATATTCCTGTTATACAATATCCTACGACAGACTTGACAGAGTGTGACTGTGTTACAGAGTGTGAGCATACAGTGAGTTCATTGTTTTCCAGGTTATCACTATCACTGGGACAGTCTTAAAGTTTAACTCAGTTTAGACTGTGTAGCAGCTCTCAATATTCTGCTTGGGATTCAGCCTGTTTTACTGCGTCAGAGGTCAGTGCAGTTGTACATTAAACGACAGTTTAGAAAAGCAGAAGTGGAAAATTGCAGTTGTATAAGAAGAACCCACATCCTTTACTTCAGTTGAATATACCACACTGTGATGATACCTTAATACATGCAAAAGTCCTGCATTCAAAACCTTACTGAAGTAAATGTATGTGTTAATCAGCAAAATGTGCTGAACCTACTTAAAGTAAAAGTACTCATTGTGCAGTGTCTTTATCAGCTCAGGAGTACTGGTATTGTTTTCAGCTTTATGACAAAGCATTTTCCAGCTGATCCAACAAGGTTTTTAAATTATTTATTTATCTTTAAAAGAAGAAAACTGTCTCAACAGAGGAGCACCTAATTCTTAAGTTTATCACAAACATTCAAAATCAACACATCTGCAGATTCATGGTTTTTACCAGATAGAGGGGGATGAAAGACTGTAATCTGAACGGCAACTAAAGCTGTCAGACAAATGTCATGCACTAAAATCTTGTGTACTTACATCCCACCACTGAAAAACAAAAGTAAACTTGAATGTTCTTCAAGTTCTTTCAGCAGCCTTGACCTCAAACGCCTCGATGAGATGCTCAAGTTTTCTGTTGTGCTAAATGGAAGAAGGGTTTAAATAAGGAAAAGAGGAGCCTGGTTACTATGGGACACTGTCTCCATGCAGACACAGGAAATGATTTGATAAGGTATGAGCGTGATTATGAGAACAAAAAAGTGTTTTTTTAATTTTTATTTTAGGTCTATTTCAGAAAACACTTTAAGCTGAAGAAAACTTGAAGATTCGTCAGAGAAGTCTTCGATTTTCTTTAAAAGCCCTGAAAACATTTCCTCAATCAGCGTCTGACTAAGGTCCTACATTAACCTGTATTTTCTGCCAAAGTTGGAACATTTTTTCTGTCTCACATGAAAGATTTCTGTTTTAAGAGTCTTTCTGAGCTGTTTTGTTGGATTGAAGTGGGCAGGGATCATTTGGAAATTTTACATTTAAGCTAAAATCTGATGAATGTCGGTGGTTTGTTTGCTAATGTTGCCTGTACCGCTGATTAAATCTGACTGGGGCGCGGCTCGTCACAATAATTATATATTTTAGGCGGGAAGAAATTCTTTGTAACAAAGGTCAACATGTCACAGGAGTCACAGGACTCTGTTTCTGATTGGCTGCAGGTTTCCTCTGGCTGCAGTTCATCACTTAAAGAGCAAAACTATCCCCAGCATTTAGTTTGGCTGCACTTTGCTGCAGAATCAAACAGCTACAGCTGGATGGATGGATCAAACAAACTCCAACTTTGACCCAGGGGACTGCTCTTCCTGTACCATGCAAAACCAAAAGTCAGTCGAATTAAGACCTACTAGCTAGGGGGAGCGTTGCTGTCTATGAAGCCGGGAGGAATTTAATGGAAGACCCACTCAGGCCGATGCAACAAAAAAGGAGAGTGAGGTCACACACACACACACACACACACACACACACAAGAAAGACGCAAAACTAAAGATAAAGTGCAAGGTGAAAACACAGCAAACACTCAACCATGCAATGGGACTGTATACTTGGGGAGCAAGGCCCCAGCTAGGACAGGCCCAAAAAACCCTTAATGTAAATTCATTACCTTTACAGTCATGAAATAGGTCTAATCAGCTCTCACTTAAGGCACCACCTCACCTCTTTAAGACAGACATCAAACCCAGGGAATGTGCTGGCCGTCACGTGAAAATCTGACCCACAACACTGAAACATCAATGAATTTTACAAGCCACATGCAGGACACCAAAACAACAGCTTGAATGTACACTTCAACATAACTCACCACAGGAAGGACGAGCAGTGTCTTTGCAGCCGGAGGATTTGCATGGCGTACGTATAGAGTAGCATAAATGAGCTACACCTGGAGCCCATTCAAACCTAATCAGGCTCACTTAAAGCAGACTGACCTTTAACGTAGCCCAGCCAACCCTACTACATGTCAATCAGGAGAGACTTGTTTCTTACAGTAAATAGAATATTAACATGTGCACATAAGAATGAAAAATGTGGAAAGTCTTTGGCGACTAGACCCCGTAGAAATGGTATGATTTAAGGAGGGTGATGAATCCATAGTCGCATAGGGAACTTACGCTGAGCTTCACTAGTAACAACCATAATGTTTTTTTTTTTTTTTGCCAAAACCTAACCGTGTACTTTTGTCCCTAAAACAAAGGGGGGGTTTTTTCCCCCTAAGTTAGGTTTATTTTGAAAAGACTGTATGCATTTAACAAGCTGACAACTGATGCTGGAGGGGTACCTAGAGCATCTTAGTTTGACCATGTGTCAGTATTTGACACAATATTTGATCTATTAACAATAGATCGCATGACAACTGTGATTAGACGATGCTCTATGGAGTGTTTAAGTGTCTTTCAGCTCTTTGTTTTGGTTTTACAGCTCACAAATCACTGCTTTGTCTCACTTTTAGTGATCTCATGGCGTCGTTTACAGCCACAGCAGGCAGTCCACTACTTGCTCAGCACCACAAGACGGACACAGTTAGCTAATATTTCCCTGAGCAGGTGGTAGAGACCAAAAACAGAGGTTAAAGAGAGTGAATATTGGACTTCTACTCGTCAGGTGACTGATAATGTTGCTTTGTAGCACCTGGATGTGTTACTTAACAAAAAGTTGCCTACAAGTTCACCCTAAAAGGTAATATGTCAATGTTGTGCTTACAACTTGTTTCTGCTGCCCCCAAGTGGCCAAAAAACCCCCAGTAATTTCAGGTTTAAGTTTGATTATTTGGTCATGAATATTTAATGTTACAGAGGAATACTTAATATTTGAAATGTAGTTTTTAAGTGGCTTGAAAATTTAAATTTTAAAATGTTTATATGCTGTCTCCCCCCCACAGCAGCAGAGCTTACATAATGACCGGCAGTAACTGCAGCACCTCTGGTTAAAACCTCTCCCAGTCTGCACGCCATGAATATCTCCATCTCCTCCATCCTGCTCAGTCTGGGAGGAAAATGTCTGCTCAACTGGAGCATGGTGTTTCTCCAGAGGAACCATATCTGCAAAAGTTTTCTTGGGGTTTTCAGTGTTTACCTTGCTGTTGCTGACACACTGCTAACCCTCTCTGTCACCACCTTTCACTTCCACGCTGATGGATACGTCCTCCTCCTGGGCTTCAAGCTGACCAGGTACCATGTATGTTTGCTGGTTCAAATCCTCGGACAAGTCTACAGTGCTCTGCAGTGGCCTGTTGTAGTCGTGGCCGGTTTGGACCATTACTTCACCATCAGTCAGAGGCTGCAACCTAACATCGCCAGGGCCAGATGGGTTGTTTGCTTATTTGTGACCTGCCTCCTGTGGTACCTCACTGCTCTCTACGTTTTCCTGTTGTCTGACTTCATTCCTGTCATGGAGGATGTGTCTTACAACCTGATACACCAATGCTGGGTCTTCCACACCTCTCAGATCCTGCAGGTTACAATTTTTCTCCTCCTGGCTCTGGGCTGTGCAGCATTGCATGCTGGGCGCAGCGCATGTTTATTAAAAAATCCTCCTCTGAGAGACCAAATTACAGACCACAGTAGAGCTCACTCCAGAAGAAGTGTTGTTCACCAAGCCCTGCGTATATTTCTGGACACATGGGCTTTATTCATGGCTATTTTTCTGGCTGTGCTCCTCCTGTTACCTGTGGGAATACCTGCATACCTGGGGCTGAACGTTGCCTGGCTCTGCTTCCTCAACAGCCTCCTGATAGCGTTCGTTTTATGTGCAGTCTGTCCAGCCTCGCAGCTCGTGCAGGGCCTGGCAACAGTTCCACTCGACAGCTTCTGTGAGTGGAGATTTAAATTTAGCCTGGCTGCAGAGGACAGAACATGACTGCACAAAGCAAACACCAACAGGACTCCAGTTAAAAGTGGAGTTAGATGCTGAGACCTCAATGTCTCGTAGGAGGAAGGTAATTGTAGCTCTACAGAAAAGTTGGGTAGCCAAGGTAGCAGCACGTCTTTGCCAATGGTAATGTGGATCTGTTGGTCAGTCCAATACTTTGGCCCGACAGAAATATCTCAGCAACTATTGGATGGATTACGATGAAGCTGGTAGAGACATTCATGTCATGGTACTTGGAGAATGTACCCTTTTGTCTTTGGTGATCCCATTTAGTGCCAAGAGCAGCCTGGTCCTCAGATGATAAATCGAATCCTTATGACTTTGGTCACTGACTTTTTATTTACCACCACCATGACAAACCAAACACTTGACTCGATATAGGACCATTCACATTATACATTACCATAGTCAGAATCCCCACTGATTTTATTCACATGAAACTGCTTTATTCAGAGTTTTTACTGGTTTTAATCAGTGGGTCAGTTTGTTTTGGAGAGGAAGAGACCTCTGTGGATAATTCGGCTCTTGGCTAAAACCTCCTGAACATCTGGATCTTCATTTATCAGAGAAAAAAGTTGAGCACAGGTGCTGGGCTAACAGACCGTCTCTGACATGCCAAACAACGTCACAGAAACACTGATTTGTGATGTGAAACTGCTTTATTCAGTGTTTTTACTGGTTTTAATCCCTGGGTCTATTTGTTTTAGGGAGGAAGAGACCTCTGTGGGTAATTTGGCTCCAGGGTAAACCCTCCTGAACAATGAACACTGAAGGAATTCTACCCAGGAGAAGTTTCAGCTGGTTGCAGTGTGCTACAGTATCTTCATGGCTAGATGCCACTAAATCCTCCTAAGTCTCACACACTTCTCCTTAACTCTGGCCTGCAAAATTATTTTATTTTTTCCCATTTTTATTTTCCACGGTACTTTTGATTTTGAAAAGCATTCAATTTTGTTAGCATGGCTGCAGAATCAGAGCATAAAAATGCCTTTGAAAATGTCATATTTAATATTTGTCACCAGTGGTGGTAGGTCATTAAATACATTTTCTCTCAGGTGCTCTTCCTAATTACAATTTTGAGGTATAATTTTTTTTTTTTTTTGGCTACTTAGGCTATTTCTACTCCACTTTATTTCAGAGGCAAATTTGGCACTTTTTATGATTTTTTTTTTTACTGCACTCCGTATATTTGATAACTTTAGTTACTTTACAGATTCAGATTACGGATACAAAATATAACCATGAAATAAATTATATCATTATATCAATGTGATTTTATCCCCAGGGAATAATTCACAAGCTGCCCAGCAGTATAAAAAGTAATATATAAATATTAAATATATTTGAATAAATAAAACAAATTTGCCCAGCCTTTACAAACTGCAATATTAAAGTCATGTTTACACATTAATTCATCAATAATCATCCAATAATTCAATAAAGGTTATTCTGAATTAAACCATTCTGCTATATGAGTATTTCTACATTTGACACTTGAAGTATATTTAATGCTGTTACATTTATACTTTTACTAAAGTTTTGAATGCAGGACTTTTACTTGTAACAGAGTATTTTTACACTTTTGTTTTCTAAACACCACTAGTCATATATTCAGGGCTGCCATTTTGACTATTTTATTTTCAATTCATCTGCCAAGTATTTAGACTTACATATTAATCATCAATGAAATGCTGTTATGTTCAAACAACTTACCTATCCTAAAAGAAAAAATGGGAAAAGCAGCTGGAGCAGGCAAATTTTTCCATGGAAAATTACTGAAATTACTCTTTTTTTTCTTGATCTACTAATCAGTTAATTCACCTGTTGTTTTATCTCTAAACATATTTATTTTTTTCAGGTAAGATGCCATTGTTTTGGAATTTCTACTCATGTCTATCTCAAGTGTGTGTGCACTACACTGACTTCACCATGTTCATCAGTGGTGTTGTGGTAGTTGATGAGGTGGGTGTACTGCTAGGTACATAGGTAGGTTACCGATGAGGAAGTGGGCATACTATCCTAGGCTATATATTACAATGGCTTTTTAGCTGATAGGTGGGTATACTGTAACTGGATAGAAAAAGTGGGTATACCCCGTATACCTGAGTATACCCTCCACTACACCACTGGTGTTCATACTGTGGTTGCCTTTAAATTACCTTTATTAGCTGTATGAAACTCACACTCAACAACATGCTGGTGTTAAAACCACATCAGCACCTCTTGTAGCTTACATGTGTGAATTCTAAGTCACTGAGGAAGTGATAAGGACAGACTCAATATCACAAGCAGATGAGAAAGGCGAAGGATGACTCTGGTTCGACACTACAGAACTTTACTTGAATTTGATCCAAGTTCATTGTCTATACAGGGTATATTTACAAGATCTGAAATCAGGGAAGGGCAAAAACAGAAAAAAAACAAACACTAGATACAACTGAGGTATTAGCTAAAAGCATTTACAGGTATGTACTTTACTAGTAAATATCAATGATGATAAACAGTTAGAGATGCAGTGTCTTCTGCTTAAAAAACATCTTTTTATATCACAACATGAGGTAGGAGAACAGTGTCTCGATTCATGCAAGAACAAAAGTCTCATCACACTGTAGTATTGGCAACGTAGTATGCAATGGTCAAACACAGACACTGTGTTTCATGTTTCAGAACAGCATTGAGGGGAAAAAAGGTTCTTTATAGCAAAGCCATGAATCTTTTCATCTCTTTTTTTCATCTATAGCAGGATGTGTATAAATTAAAACATGGTGCACCTATTCTTAGTAACCAGTGATCTGTGTGATCAACAATGCAGCCATACTTTCTATTTCTCCCACACTGGCATAGTATAATTACTGGCTGAAAATTATATATCCAACTACAAAGCATACCACCTGCAACAGTTCAAATGTCACCTTGGATTTGTTTACTACTTTTCCTCACACAGCCAGGAGGCAATGGGTATGTAAATCCTGTATTCAAATGTGTCCACATGGTCAAGCTCTGCTCGTTTCACCTTGCTTTCGTCTGTTGGGCAAATGTCACACCTGTAGAAATTCTGTACAAAGCATATCCAAGTTCTCATAACACTGCAAAATGCAAAAAGGCCCAGCAAACTGTGTTACAGGGGATTTTTCTCCCCTTTCATTTACATTTAGTCATTTTTTTTCATTATGGTGTACGATTAAAGAAGCTAAACAATGCCCCCTTGTGAATAAAATGCAAATTACACAAAGTAAATTAGGAGAAAACAGATTAGCTATCTGCTAATGGGATGAATTTAAAGATTTTTTCTTCATTTTTTTTTCCTGCTGAAGAGGTAATTAATTCAATAAAACTAATACTGATTATCTTTTGAGTGATGTTTACACTTCCAGACGAGGATAAATGATCAGTATCAGAAATCATAACGACACATCCAGAGCTACATGAGCACGTTTTTCTCTTTCCCTTTTCAAAGCTGCTGTGCTTCAGTCAGACGTGGGAGGCCAACACACACACACACACACACACATGCGCACACACACACACACACACTTTCTCTTTTCCTCTCACAGACACACACACAATTTCCAAATCAAATTAGGCTACATGTTCTTCATAATCTGACTTTATATCTAGCCAACCTCTAAACCAATAATGGTATAAAACTTGCACATGTTCAATGTTCATGCATATGAGCCATCTCAATAGTTTGTGCGTTACGTGAGGGGGAAACATCTTCTTATCTTTTCTTCTTTTTTTTTTAACAATGAACAGATTGATAGATTGGCCCGGTGACACAAAACATAAGGGGCAGCAAAACATGCAAAAAATAATCATTTTTTGTTTCCATTTTTTTTTTCCAAAATGCATTTTTTTAAACAAATGTTTCATTTTCAATTTATCTCAGGGGGGAGGAGGGGGTTTAACAAAGAGGAAAAAGCTCATCACATTACACATTAAACAGTCCGTCAAGATGAAATCCACAAAAAAACAAATGCATCATTTCAGAAAAAGGGGGAAAGTGTGTAACAAAGTATTATTTTTCCTATTTTGCCTTTGTCCTGCATCACCATGTCTCAGTAAACCATGCGTTTCACTCCCCTACTTCGGCTCGACAAAAGCCGAGCTCTGATAACTTTTTTAAAAAAGAAAGCAAAAACATCTGAAGCCTTAGTTCTGGTCCAATTTATATAACCTTTTGAAGATTTTTCATATAAGAACAGTTAATATATTAATGACTACTGTATTTACAAAGTGAATATAAATCTTTAGTTAATACGTTAAATATTTTCTTTCATAATTTCAATAAAGGTTTAAATGGAACAGTAGAGTGTACATTTGCGGCGTGGGTTTGATTTTACTGGCTTGCACCTGCACCTGCTTTTATGACAATCAACAAACCACAACTGTACTCTGCCCGGTCTTTAAGGTCTGTCATTGTAAAGGGAAGCTGTGTAAGAAACTCTGGATTAAACAGGATGGAGCACAGTGGAATGTCTATCAATTTGCATTTTTTAGCAGATGCATAAAAAAAGCTCAGAGTTTAGCTGAGGCCGATCCCCTTCTCTTTTTAAACAATTATTTACACACACACCACACACTCGCTTACAGGGATCTCCTTAGTGGCAATAAAAAGCGCTTTTGCCTGGCAACCGACACAATAAAAGTCCTCTCTTCCTCTGGCTGGATGACTGCTCGCTCTCCTGGGCATCTACAAAACACTGCACACCCCCAGCTGATCTGGCACTGGAGATGGATGGACGGGTATGTGTGAGTGAGTGACGGTCGTTTTGTGGGAGAGGGCGAGGGAGGGAGGTTGTTGAGAGATGGAGGACGGGGGGGATCCTGTACAGTCTCACCCGAGGGCGGGCAGAGGCCCACAGACAACAACAGCTGCCCCCATTCTGACGGCACAAAACAAAAAGGGCTCCCTCTGTACCCCTGGCGTCTGGGCCACCCAGCCTGCCGCAGGGGGAGAGTGCAGCGGTCCCCCGAGCGCTCCCCTCAATCCTCGCCTCCCCTCTCTTCCTCTTCCTGCCCGGTGCTGTTTGTTCAGCCAGGCAGAATAACGTGAAGCAGGGGCCAGACCCGAGGCCCAAACCACCCCGGACTAACTGCTTTCACCTGCGACCCACATTCTTAGACGACGCTCTGACAAACAGGGTGGTGGATAAAAAACGTCAACTAACAATGAAGTCAAATGGTAGAAAAAGAGAAGCCCAGAAAACAGGGACAGGCTGGAGCTTTGATCATCTGCTGGGAACGCTGGGGCCATTGTTCTGCCTGAACACATTCGAGTGTGTGCGGGCATGCAGGGATGTTGCATGTATTATGGTAACACAGTACAGCTCCCGCACATGTGAGACTCGGCCTTTCTTCTTTCTTAGAAAAGCTACACCGGCTCAACCAGCCCCCGTGTCCAGACACATTCCTTTCCCAGGGGATTCTGGGGGAGGAGAGCGTGCTAAGTGCATAACACTGCTCGTGAGCTTCTTCATGCCAAGCCTGAAAAGAGCACAGTGTTTCCTGTCTAGCCTAAAGTGGGTGAAAACCACAGTGTTAAGGAGTTTCCCAGCAGAGGGCAATGGCGTTAGCGTACAGCGGTTGAAGGTGTGAAGGGGGGCAGAGGAGACACCGGGCAGCTGGTGGATCAACCGACACACTGTTTGGTCTATGACAGGAGAGTCCAGGTGCTGCCCAGCAGAGTGAAGAGGGACGCTAGTCTGTGTGAGGAGCAGCTGGGGTCCAGGCCAGACGATTTGCTAGCTAGCTACCTTGGGGGGGGGGGGGGGGGTCATCACACTCAAAACACTCATTTCAAGTTCAGCGTCACTATTGGCATATTTTCATGAGGTTTTACGACATCTGCAAAATGTCTTTTTTTTGTACAGTAAAGGTCTTTCTCCTCCATATTGATTTGATGTTTTTTTAACATGATACACTTTTCTTTGTGTTTTATAAGGAGCAAAACAAAACAAACAAAAAAAACCCAATAATGTCCATGCAGTTTCCTGCAGTCGCTGGTACTTGAGCGTTTGGGCTGTACGTACAGAGAGAGACGGAGAAGGGGCATGCAACCAGGTGCCATTATATGTCCGAGGGCTCCGGCTGCTGTGCCAGGTAGTAGCATGAAGTGATGTCCGCGACGAGTCTGTGTATCTGAGCTGAAGTCTGAAATCTCCAAGTCATTAGCTCCAGAATCCAGAGAGAGCAAGGAGGGATGGGAGAGTAGGGTGACAATCGTAGGGTGGGGGGTGGGGGGAGGTGTAGGGGGAGCGGGGCAATAGTGATGGGTTGAGTTGGTCTCTACGTGACCAAACTCCCGTCTGTGAAGCAGCTGTTTGTTCAGTAAAAACTATAAATTAAATCAAACATACATGCCCAAAAAATCTTTAAATACTGTTTAAAGAGAGGAGAGGGGAGCAAAAGAAAGAATAAAAAAAACACAACATA